GAGAGGTAGGAGGGAGCAAGGCCGTGAATGGCCTTGTAGGTGAGGATGAGGATCTTGAAATCAATCCTCTGGGGGATGGGGAGCCAGTGGAGGCGAGCGAGGGTGGGAGTGATGTGGTCCCGAAGCCTGGTGCGGGACAGTACACGAGCTGCAGAGTTCTGAATGACCTGCAGCTTGTGGAGGGAGGTGGCGGGAAGGCCGGCGAGGAGAGAGTTCCCATAGTCCAGCCTTGAGGTGACAAAGGCGTGAACCAGGGTTTCAGCAGCGTGAGGGGTGAGGTAATGCCGTAGTCTGGCGATGTTCCGGAGGTGATGGAAGGCGGTGCCAGTTGTGGTGCGGATGTGAGGGAGACAGGACAGCTCAGGGTCGAACAAAACGCCGAGGTTCCTGACTGGCTTTGAGAGGTGGAGAGTGCAGCCTTGGATGCTGATGGTGTCGGCGCCTGAATGTACGTGCCTCACACACACAAACACACTGTCCTTGAGACAGTCCGTTATCTTGTGTACATGCAGGGCAGTAGTACACATTTTGTCCTTGAGGCACTCACGTGATCTTGGGTGTAAACTCATGAGGTTCAGTCCAGTTGCCCCCCCACACTTAACTTAAAAGTTAACCAGTTTGCAACATCTATTATGATTCTAACATTATACAAAAAGTGTAAATTTTAACAAGTAGGAGGTTAGGAAATGTCATTTTAGCTTCAGTTAAATGGAAATGGCTGAATGAAATAAAAGACTATCTTCCTTTCCCGCCAAATGGTCCGATGAAAGATCTGGAACAAGTAGAAGATCTAGGATTTACATTGATTTTACGATCACTAATTCTGTCTAGCTGGGATAACTTAGGAGTTCCAATGATCCAACTCATCCTGTATAGACCTAAATATTTGTATAATGGCAATTAGCTTGTAATGTATTTGTCTTACATAGATTACATCATTGTATCAACAACAAATTGAAATTGGTGTGACTGGATTTGGTTTTAAAATTCTTATGCAATACTGGATGTATGTGAGAGAGTATCAGTGTAACAATGATTATTATTTAGTTGAAAAGGGAAGTGAGTTTCTCCTGGTGTCCTGGCTAATACTCAACCAGATAAAATTTGTCATGCCTGTTTGTGGGAATTTCTTTATGCAAATTGGTTGCCACATTTGTCAATAAAATGCACAGTCACTACACGTTACAATACATCCTGAAAAGCACTTTAAAATGGTCTCCCAATGTGAAAGGCACTATATCAAGTGTAAGGATTACTATTATTTTATTTTTACTTATGGTGTACACCATAATTCTATCCTTTGCCCTCTCCCACTTCTAATTTACATGCTAGTTCTTGGTGATATCATCCATAAGTATAGGGTTAGCTTCCTGTGCTCATGATACCCAGCTCAACCCATTTTATAAAGTTAAACGTCAACATGAATAAAGCCATCTCACTAGGAGCTCTGTGCCTCTAATTCTTATTCCATTAGCTTCTCCTGCTGCTCATTTAGGCCTAACTAAGTAGTGCACTTAGCTCATATCTATCAGTCCATCAGCAAAATCCCCTTCTCCCATCTCTAGAATTTTTCTTTTGGTCAGCCTGGCGTCTGACTTGGGGAAATCCATCACCATGCTTACGAATGCCCAATCCACAGGAGTCCTGTAGCATACTGGTTAGCACGCTCGTCTTTCAAGCGAGAGGACCTGGTTAGAGTTCCAAAGGGTAGGATCAGAGAAGCTGAAGGCCCAACCGTCGATTGTGGGGTGGGCCGGGTGGGGGAAGTGGAGCAGGCCTGAGCATGCTGAGCGGACGGGTTGATAAATGCATGGACGAATGTTTCAACGGCTTGAGGGGAGAGGCAGTGAATCAGAATCATAGAATTATACAGCTCAGAAGGAGGCCATTCGGCCCAATCTGTCTGTGCCGGCTCTTTGAAAAGAGCTATCCAATTCAATCCCACTCACTCGCTCTCTCCCTATTGCCCTGCAAACTTGTCCTCCCCAAATAATTATCTATTTCTCTCTTAAAAGCTGTTATCGAATCGGCTTCCACCACCTTTTCGGGCAATGCATTCCAGATCCGAACAACTCACTGTGTGAAAACATTTCTCTTCATCTCCCCTCTGTTTCTTTTAACAATTTTTTAAATCAGTGTCCTCGGATGACCGACCCACCCGCCAATGGAAAGAGTTTCTCCTTGTTCACCCTATTGAATCCCCTCTTAATTTTGAAAACTTCTATTAAGTTTCTTCTTAACCTTCTCTGCTCCAAGGAGAATAATCCTAGCTTCTCCAGCCTCTCCTGATAGCTGAAGTCCCTCATTCCTGGTACCATCCTGGTACCATCTCCTTTGCACCCTCTTCAATGCCTTGACATCCTTCTAAAGTTGAGAAGATGGGGGAAGGACAAACGGGTTATGGCACGGATGTGGGGTAGAAGCGACAGCTGAGGGTTAAACAAGACGCCAAGTTTCTGGACTGGCTCAGTGAGATGGAATGTGTAACCATGGATGGTGATGCTGTCAGTGCCTGAGGTGAGGAGGCTCTGACAGGAGCCAATCAGGAGAGCCTCGATCTTGTTGACATTCAACTGGAGAAAGTCAGTTCTCATCCAGGACTTGATGTCTGACAGCCATTCTGTCAGGACAGCAGTGGTCTTGGAGTCAAGGGTTGAGGCAGAGAGATAGAGTTGGGTGTCATCCTCATACACATGGAAGTTGACCCCATGTCTGCAGATGGTGTCATCAAGAGGAAGCATTATAGATATTGAAGGGGAGGGGACCAAGGACAGAGACAAGGAACAACGCAGGAGTGTGTACAAGCAATGGCTTTCCAGTGTTTTCCAGAGATTCATATCTCTCACCATCTCAGACCTGCGCACAAACCCCCAATGGTCTGTGCGGGTGTTGATGAGGACTGTCAGAGATGGGGAGATGATGGACATGATAGGGGGGTACCCTCGAGAAACTGTCAGACTGATCTGGCAGAACGCCTCGTCGCCGGCCTTATCCAACAAACATCAGGACATGGCCTGGCTGACAGTAAAAAGGCCATTTCTCATCAGGTCCTTCCTGCACCACCGGGACCTCGCCGCCACCGCATGCTGCCCTCGGGACGGCTGTGGAGTTGAGGAGACGGGGGAACACCTCCTCCTGGAGTGTACGTACACAAAGGCCAACTGGAAACAAATGGACTGGCTGCGCTCGCGGTTCATCCCTGGGGATCCGCTGTCACGGCACTCAGTGATGCACAGCCTCTTCCCGGGGGGGACACAGCATGACCGACATCGAGTGCGCCTGCAGGATCATCAGCTCGGTGAAGGCGGCCCTCGTGGTCGCCCGAAACCAGTTGGTGTACCAGCACAGCACCATGTTGGAGAGGGCCTGCTGCAGGCTCACACACTCCGCCATCAGGGACTACGCGTTTAGTGGGCGCACTGAAGCTCGGAACAGCCTCGACAACGGAAAGATGGGGCCTGACCCCAACCGGAGCCGCCCCCACGCCGACACTGGGGCTGTACCCCAACACGCCAGGGTCCCAACCCCCACGGAGGCTGACATCAGGGGGCACGTCTCGTGTGGAAGAGCGTCCCCACGAAAACAAAATGTCACGAGCAGAACAAAAGAAAGTTTGTATCTGGGTACAGATAAGGGGAATGTAACGGAAGAGGTCGCCTTTCGCGTTCGTTGTGCTTTTTGGTTGTGCCAAATCTATTCTGAATAAATAGGTATTTATTTTTTTTTAAAAAAGCGAGTATTTTGCCCCAAAATGGACATACACGTTGCATTGGAGCCAAAGCAGTGTTTGTCCCCCTGACCCCAGAAAGAAGGGGGGGGGGGGGGGGGGGGGGGAGAGAAGAGAAACCTCCCCGAACAAGTTGCTTAAACAGCGACCGCTGCTGGCAACGTGTGCGGTTGACAGGTCATGTGGATACCGAGTCAACACGATGTTCCCTGCGCGGTCTCGGAGTTTACCAGCAGTGCCAGGGGAACACATGCAGAAGTAATGGCCATCCCGGGCTGAGGAGTTACAGACTGACTCGCGTCTCAGTAAATTGGGCATCGAAATAAATATATCAGGAGAGGAGAGAGAGAGAGAGAGAGAGAGGAGTGAGTGACACAACGGAAGAAAATCAACGAGAAAAGTAAGTTTCTTTTTCCGAAATTAAAACCGACGCGAATCACGATCCAACTCGCGCGCGTGTGTGTGTGTGTGTGTGTGTGTGTGTGTTTGGGGGGGAGTGGAGCCAGAGCTTTATTTTTTATTCACCGAAAAAAAAGTCAACCCTCCAGCGAATAGCTGCATAGAAATATAATATATAATATATAATATATGATAGAGATATATATATATGTGTGTGTGTGTGTGGGTGGGTGGGGGCAAAGTTTGACAATGTTGTAAAACAGAGCCCAACAGAGCGATATCTGAATGGCCACAGAGAGATACTGAGAGAATAATAAAAGAAGTCTTTGTGAGTTGGTAACGAGCGGTTCCTCTCTCTCTCCCTCTCTCCCCCTCTCCTCCCCCTCTCTCCCCCTCTCCCCTCTCTCTCCCTCTCCTCCCCCTCTCCCCTCTCTCTTCCCCCCTCTCCCTCCCCCCCCTCTCCCCTCTCCCTCTCCCCCTCTCCCCTCTCTCTCCCTCTCTCCCCCTCTCCCCTCTCTCCTCCCACAGTTCGTGCCACGTCAGAGTCACTTCCCATATACACACACACAAAAAAACACCGCCACAACTTCTTGAAAACGTCTGCGAGGACACGGATGGCGGCGGCGGCGGCGCTTCTTCGTCTCAGTCCAACCCGAACCCACGGGCTCGGGGTCGGGGAGTGGCAGTGAAGCGGGAAGCGCAGGCGGACAGTCACACCGCACCGCTCCCGCACCCGCTCTCTCGAGCTGAAGAGGGTTTCCGCAGCTCCCAGACCCCCCCCTCCCTCCCTCCCTCCCTCCCCCTCACACCCCCCAAACTTTCCGTTCGGTTGCCCCCCGCCCCCCCGCAATCGTTCGGACTATGCAGACGCACTATGCGGAGAGCTCTGCGCCCGCAACTCGCGCTGTTCGCCGCCGCGAGCGTCCTGGTAACTTTGTACCTGTGTTCGCAAGAGCTGCCTCAGCCCGTCCCGCCCCCGCGGGGCAGCGCGGCCGCCCGGCCCCCGCCCGTCACGGTGCTGGTGTGGTGGCAGCCCTTCGGCGTCGCCGGCAACACCCGCGACTGCGAAGCCGTCCACAACGTCGCTGACTGCCGGATCACGTCGGACCGGGATCAGTACCGGCTTTCCCAGGCGGTGGTCATGCACCACCGGGACATAGATTTGAGCGAACTGCCCGAGGGGAGACCTCCTTCGCAGAGGTGGATTTGGATGAACTTCGAGTCGCCCTCACACACCGCGAACGTCGAACGGCTCGACGGGATGTTCAACTGGACCATGACCTACAAACTCGAGTCGGACATCTTCATTCCCTACGGGTACTTCTACCGTCAGGAGAAGGGGGTCGCGAGGCTGGTGCTGCCCAGCAAAACCAAGCTGGTGGCCTGGGTCATCAGCAACTGGAACGAAGACCACCGCCGCGTCCAGTATTACCATCGGCTCAGCAGCCATTTGGACATCGAGGTGTACGGCCAACACGGGATGGACCTGAAAAACAACAGCGTGGTCGCCACCGTCTCGCAGTACAAGTTTTACTTGGCGTTCGAGAACTCGCAGCACATCGATTACATCACCGAGAAAGTCTGGAGAAACGCCTTCCTCTCCAGCGCCGTGCCGGTGGTCCTGGGTCCCACCAGAGCCAACTACGAGATCTTTCTGCCCCCTGACTCGTTCATCCACGTGGACGATTTCCCGACCCCCCGGAAGCTGGCCCGGTACCTGCTGTTCCTGGACAAGCACAGCCGGAGGTACCGGGAGTATTTCGATTGGAAAAAGCGCTACCGAGTGCATGTGACGGCGTTTTGGGACGAGCACTACTGCAAGGTGTGCAAAGCCGTCAGGAGCGCCGGGGATCAGCACAAGACTATCTCGCACCTGGCGGATTGGTTCCACCGTTGAGGTCGGCGGTGGAGGCTGGAGAAGAAGGAAGGGAACCCCCCCCCCCCCCCCCCCCCCCCCCCCCCACTCATGGATCAGTTTCGTGTCATCTCTTGTTAAGCTTTCGGAGAGTTTCACGTTGGATTGGAAGTCATTAAGTTGGGTGCTCTCCAAGCAAAAATCTGTCCTCAGAACGGGATTGCAACAGTGCTGTTGTTTCCAGATACTCAAAAGAAAGGACACCCCCCACCCCTCACCCACCCCCCCCATTCAGATTTTTTAATTTTTAAAAAAAAACTGTAATAAATATCGCACAAAGTAGTACTTGGAGCAGACGCATCATCGCTTCCGACTGTAGAATCTGATACTAAACCCAGGATATATATCATTCCAGAACAAGATCCGCTCTGTCTTGGCTGTGCAACTGTATGCTTGCTCTCTGCCATCATTGTTTAAAATTAAAATGTGATTTAAAAGCAGTCATCACAATGATGGATCATAATAATATTATATCTGATTAACCCAGTGCTCCCGAGTTTAGGTGTTACTTGGTTTTCAGCATAATCCTTTTCTTTCTACAGTCCTGTAACTGATACACGTGGAGACCCATCCTGAAATCCAAGCCAAACTACTGAAAGGTCCACAAATGTATGGAGTGTGATTCTCTCCCAAGAGGGGCACACCTTGTTCCTGTTATTAAGAAAGAGTTTAGGTTCAGGTTGGCAAGAGCTAAGGAATGGAGATCCCAGAAGGTGTATTGTGGGCACTCCTCCAAGTCCCGCTAATGATCCAAGTTGGCTGATTCATCATCAATAGTGCCCTGAAATACTGTAGACCAGCCCAACTTAAGAACTGGACTTTCAAGAAGCTTGAATCTATTTTGATCTTCCAATGCTAGGCATGTGACCATATTTTGTTGTGTGGAGCACATAAGAAGCATCAATAATGCTGACCTTGACAGGTGGTAGACTGGAAAGATGAACAGGACAGATTACATTGTAGTAAAGTCAAACTGATGCTGCTCTTAGCCCCCGAAATCTTGATTTGCTAAAAGCATCACTAAATATAAATGACCCGCTTCCTTTGGAGTGACTTAGCCAATTGTTATTTCTTATGTATAATGCTAAGTCCATGATAGTGCGAGCTGGCACCAACTGCACATCAGAGTGAAATTTTCACGTAAACCTCTGAAAAAAACATGCCTTCAACCATGAGTTTCAAATCAGCCTGACTTTGTTGCAGTGTGGATAGCTGCCAGGAATTGTCAAGATTAGCATTTTTTCTGCTTCTTGTGTGCCTTTCCCATTCCCACAAGAAACAGAATGTGGTGACATGACCTCACTTTACTGCTATATCTAATCCACACCAGCTAGGCCAGGTTTAAACGTCAGAGTCAAAAGTTATCTTTGTGATATACCTAACAAAACAATGATTCAAATTGTCTTGGTTCATTTCAGAAGATGCTTTTCTTCACATGCTGATTGTTTATCCGTGTAGGGTAATAATAATAATCCTTGCATTTGATATAGCGCTTTTCACGTCGGGAGGACGTCCCAAAGCGCTTCACGGTAATGAACAGGATAGATTACAGGAGGACTTGAACATTCTTGGGAATTGGGCAGATCAATGGCAGATTAAATTTAATGTAGAGAAATGCAAAGTGGTTTACATTGGGACAAAAAATACAGAATGCGACTATTATTTAAATGGGAAGAAAATAATCTGTACAGGAAATGAAAAGGACCTGAAGATCCTGCTTGATAATAAATTGAAATTATCCCAACAGTGCTCGGTAGCATTGAGTTAGGCAACCCAGATGCTAGGCTGTATTAAAAGGTCAATATTGAGCCAAAATAAAGGGGTAATCCTGCCACTTTATAAATCACTGGTGTGACTGAACTTGGAAGACTGTGTGCAGTGCTGGTCACTGCAACATAAAAAGGATTTTGCAGCAATTGAGAGGATACAGTGGAGGGCAACCAAAATGATTGAGGGGATCGAGGGACTGGACTATGAGGAGCAATTAGATAAACTAGGCACGTTCATGCTGGAGAAGAGAAAATTGATATTGTGTTCTTAAGATTTTGAAGAGAATAGATATTGTTAACCATGATAAGCTGTTTTATCTTGTACTGAACAGTAGAAGCAGAGGCCTGCAATTTAAGGGCCTAATTTAAGAGCCTAGTTTAAGGGCCAAAGGAACAAATCTGCGGAAACACTACTTCATGCCACTGTCTCACACCAAATTCACTGAACCCCCAAATATACAGTCAATCTACTTTATAAGATATTCTGTGACGCACTTTGAGGCGCTATATAAATGTAATTTATTGTTCTGCTTGTCCGCTCTCAGCTAATTTAGATCAGCTTTGGGTCCCATCCTCCCCATCAACACCATCAGTTGCCGAGCCTTCAGTTATATGCCCTATCTCTGGAACTCCACCCCTCCTTCCCATTCTCTAGCTCCAGCTCGAATCTGCCTTTAAATCCATTCTAAAAACTTCCTCTTTTGTGCCTATTGTCACTTCCAAGATTCGATCCTCGTGAGGAGTGCTTTATCATAGAATCATAGAATCATAGAATTGTACAGCACAAAAAGAGACCAGTTGACCCATCGAGTTTGTGTCGGCTCTTTGAATGGCGCAATTAATGTCAATCCCACTCCCCAGCCCTTTCCCCATAACCGTGCTCCTCAAATACCCATCCACCGCATTTTTAAAAGTAGTTATCGATACTGTCTCGACCACTCTTTCAGGCAATGTGTTCCAGATTCGAACAACTCGCTGCGTGAAAAAATTTCTGCTCACCTTCCCTCTGCTTCTTTTAGATACTATTTTGAATCTGTGACCTCGAGTCACCGACATACCCACCAGTGGAAACACTTTTTCCCTTTCTAACCTATCAAATCCCCTCATGATTTTGAAGACCTCTATTAGGTCTCCTCATAACCTTCTCTGCTCCAATGAGAATAATCCCAGCCTCTCTAGCCTTTCCTCATAATCAAGGTCCCTCATTCCTGGTACCATCCTCGTAAATCTCCTCTGCACCCTTTCCAATGCCTTAACATCCTTCCTATAGTGTGGTGCCCAGAACTGGGCGCAGTATTCTAACTGAGGCCTAACCAGTGTTTTATATAGGTTAATCATAACCTCCTGACTCTTGTACTCTATGCCCCTATTTATAAAGCCTAGTATCCCATATGCCCTTTTTACAGCTTTATCTACCTGTCCTGCCACCTTCAAGGATTCATTTACCTGCACCCCCAGGTCTCTCTGTTCTTTTATCTCCCTTAAGATTGTATTACCAGCTTGTATTGCCTCCCCTCATTCTTTCTACTAAAATGCATTACTTCGCATTTCTCTGCATTGAAACTCATCTGCCATGTGTCTGCCCATTTTACCATTCTGTCTATGTCTTCCTGCAGTTGGCTACTATCCTTCTCACTGTTTACTACCCTACCTAACTTTGTGTCATCCGCAAACTTGGAAATGGTACTTGCTATACCCAAGTCCAGATCATTTATGTATATTAAGAAGAGCAGTGGTCCTAATACCGATCCCTGGGGTACGCCGCTGTACACTTCCCTCCAGTCAGAAAACCAGCCATTCACCACAACTCTCTGCTTTCTGTCTCCCAGCCAGTTCTGGATCCATGCTGCCACTCCCTTTTATACCATGGGCTTCTATCTTTTTTATAAGTCTTTCATGTGGCACTTTGTCAAATGCCTTTTGAAAGTCCATATAAAATACGTCAACTGCACTACCTTTATCCACCCTCTCCGTTACCTCATCGAAAAATTCTATTAGATTTGTTAGACAAGTTTGCCTTCAACAAATCCATGTTGGCTGTCCCTAATTAACCCATATTCTTCTAAGTGAAGATTTATTCTGTCTTGGACTATAGTATCCAGGAGTTTCCCCATTACTGATGTTAGGCTGACTGGCCTGTAGTTCCCAAGTTTATTCTTCTGTCCCTTTTTGTACAGGGGAGTCACATTGGCCACTCTCCAGTCCTCTGGCACCACTCCTGTGTCCAACGAAGATTGAAAAATTGTAGCCAAAGCCTCCGCTATTTGTACCCGTGCCTCCCATAGTAACCTTGGTTGCATCCCGTCCGGTCCGGGCGACTTATCTACCTTCAGCGCAGTCAACCTTTTCAGTGCTTCCTCTTTGTTTATACTTAACCTATCCATTTCCTCTACTCTCTCCTCCGATACTGCGGCATTTGGTGCATCCACTTCTTTTGTGAAGACAGATGCAAAGTACTCATTCAGCACATCAGCCATGCCCTCTGCTTTTATCCACCCTTTCTGCGATGTCTAAGACTGTTGCACCAGGGAGGCAGCATACCATCCTTGACTCCCGTCATCTGTTACAGAAACGTCGGTCTATACCTCTCACTGTTGTATCCCCTATGACAACAGCATTACTCCTGTTACCTATGTCCCCCTGTTCCACCAATTGGTTTATACTGTCCTCCCTGGAGATATCCACACTCTCAATGTTCAGTACAGAGTACTGGTTTGAGAGTGCTACACTATTGGGGGCATTCTGCCTAGCCAGTCCCCTCTTCCTACCATGCCGGACAGTCACCCAGTCATTTTCGTCTGAACCCTCGGTGTGTGGGGTGGGGTGACCACCTCTTGAGGTGTCTGGTCCATCAAATACTCACATCAGTTGATCAAGTTTGATGACCAAGGCTCGATCACCCCTCTCTCTCAGGTGTCCCATTATCTGCAGGACTGATGAAAACATCCTGTCCGTGAGCATTAACCAGATGCAAGCATCTCCCGGGCCTCAGGGGAGTGATGGTTTCCTCCAACATACTGTCCAAGAACCTCTCACTGTCCCTGATGGAGCGCAGTGTCTGCACCTCGGCTTCCAGCTCAGCTACCCTCAGCTGGAGCTTCCTGAGTTGCAGACACTTGCTGCAGATGAAATCGCCCGGGCTCAGGGCGCCCTCCATTAACTCCCACATGTCACAGACTTCACATTTAACTTGCCACATCATCTTCTCGCACAGTTAGACGTCGAGAAGACGTGAAAACGCTATATCAAATGCAAGGGTTATTATTTATTATTATTATTATGGTCACCATTTAATTCTGAGCCTAACCAGGCTCAAGAGGCAGTACCAGAGGAAACAAAATGAAAATGATCCACAGAATTAAAGGATTGAATTATGAGGAGCTGTTAGAGAAACTTGAAAAAACACATCTCAAAGGAGCTCCTATTGAGATATATGTAATGCTAAGTAGAATCAAATT